CTATACTGGAGTTGCTGGGTATTGCTCCCATGAGTGGAGGTGGGTGGCTAAGTGCCCTGCCCCTGCCCCTTGGCAGGGACTCAGCAGAACCACAAACAGCCAGGGCCTCACCCCGACCTCTCTGGCTGACTTCCTCAGACTCTGGGAAGGTAATTTAGCGACTGTCTGCTTTCATTAGCCTGCTCGTTAACTTTTCCCAATTGATTTTTTCGGGGTTTTTGATCTAATGCTTGCACAAACGACACCCTGTCAGTTCCCAGGAGGGCTCCTCCTGCCCCCAGCTCATTAGAATGTAGCACACTGGGGCTGGCATCATGTGGTCCCACAGCCAGGAGCTTCTTGCAACACCTACTCACCAGGGACTGCATGACTCTTCCCTTCTGCAGGGGCCGCAAGCTAACACCTCAGGGACAGAGAGATCTGGACAGAATCGCCGGACAGGTGAGGCAAACATGCAGGCCTGGGCCAGATCCTTGATCGTGGTAGGCATTTCCAGAGCCCCTTGTCACACAGATCTTATTTCCTCCTGGGGGGAGGGCTTCCCAGGGGCAAAGAAAAGGACATTACTTTCTGTTGGAGTAGCTTGGAAATTCATATGTTAGTGTAGAGGGAACCCCAGGCCCAGCGTGCTGTGGGTCTCTGCAAGGTGCATATCTGTAACCTCACACTTGGTTCCCTTCTGCCCGGTCAGCTCTAGGGTTCTGACTACAGTATTTCTTTACTTATTCTTGCTGGGCCCCAGGTGGGGCAGGGTGGGAGAAACTGAGACCAAAGCAGCACCCTGGCTCAGGTCCCCATCCAGATCCTGGCTGTCCCTCTCTCAAGCAGGATCTTCAGCTCTGCAGTCTCCCCACATAACATGTGATCCACTCCCGCCAACCTTAAGAATGATGGCAAGAAGTCCACAGGCTGTAGTACAGCCGGACTTCTAGGGGTGTTTAGTCACTTCTGTCAAAAAGAATGGAGGGCCTGGTGTGGAAGCACGTGCCTATTGTCTCGGCATTCTAGGAGGCTGAGACAGGAAGATTGCTTCAAGTTAGAGGAAAAAAGAATAGAGTGTTTCTAGCAATAATTGGGTGACCTAGAAAAAGGAACTCTCCATAGAGCAAAACCTGGCACAATTGTCAGTGGGTGGAAGTCGGACTCTCATTTCCTGAAGCCCAGTTTACAGCTGACCTGGAGGCATGGCTGTGGTTGTAAGGGTTAGATGAGATGAGTGCATTTGCCATAGGGGTGGGTAGCTAATTAAACACACTGCCCCAACAGAAACTCTGCTGATCTATCTTCTCCTTTCCCACAGGTGGCAGCTGCCAACAAGAAGCATTAGAACAAAGATGCTGGGTTAATAAATAGCCTCATTCGTAACTTGGTCTGGGTCTCTTTAATCAGCTGTTTCTTTGGGGATATGAAGATGGACCACTGCCTTCCCTTCTGTAAGAGGGACTGGGGGTACCTGTGTCTTCCCCCCTGCACCCCTCCCCCAAATCTACAAGGGGAGGAAATACTGAGGCTTATCCTTAAGGGTACTAAGGTTGGGTTTGACCCTAAGGTGTAGCTTCTGCTTGGTGGCCTCCTGCAGTGGAGTCCTGCTCGAGTTCAAGTTCCAGCCCTGGGCTAAGGAAGTAGCTCAGTGGTAGATCCTGGCTTTGGTAGTTAGCACTGCACAAAATAGTCCAAGTTCCAGCCCTGGGCTAAGGAAGTAGCTTCAGTGGTAGATCCTGGCTTTGGTAGTTAGCACTGCACAAAATAGTCCTACCTGCAACTTTGTGTACACCTTTTTTTCTCAGCCTTCACTGTACTTCAAGATGCTGTGGGCCGGGGATTTAGCTCAGTGGTTCTGCCTGCTTTGCAAGCATGAGGACCCAAGTTCAATTCTCAGTACTAATTTAAAAAAGATGCTATGCAGAACTTTGGAGACAGCCACTTGGCTTCCCCCACATTGAAGAGCGAGGTTAGGAAAGTACCCAAGCTGATGGGGAGTGAAGCTGCCACCCTTAATGGCTTAGAAGTCAGGGCTAAGATTCGTACTTAAGACTAGAATCTACTGTGGTGCTAGGTGTTTTAGAAATGGGCCCAGCAACCCTTGTGAAGTAGATTCCAGACAGCACCTTGTTGGAGATGGATTTGGAAAGAGGCAGAGCCATCATTTTAAACCCAAGCAACTAAACCAGCTACAGTGCTCTCTAGCCCTCTCAAGTGAAAGATAAGAAATCCCTAAGAATTGTGCCTGGTTTAGCCCTGGGCTAGTCACACCCCTGTTCTGGGGCTGTTTTTTCTACTTTTTCACTGTGTACCTCTGGCTGTTGATCCTCCTGCTTCAGCCTTCCTGACTGCTAGGGTGACAGGTGTGCGCCACCACATCCCGACTCCATTTCCTCTTACCCATTGGGAAAGCATTTCCCAGAGCAGACTGAAGAGAGCGTGATGCTGAGGTCTTTCATATGGGGCGGGGCACCATGGATCCTAGGTGAGGCACGAAGGTGCCCAAACACTGCCTGAGCCCAGGAGTGGGCCTGCAGTCATGCAGACTTACCCCTCCAGCCACCGGGGGGCAGTCGAGAGCCTGAAAAAAAGGTTTGCCGCTAGACCCGGGAGGGTCAAAGAAGGACTAACCAGCCTTGTTCCAGAAACAAAGCACTAGTATGGCCTTTCAGACAGGGTTACATGTTACAGCAGAAAAAACAGCCATTCGGTTGGCAGAGCTGAGATACAGACTCAGAATCTCAAATTTGTGTATATGTGTGCACAAGCAGGGTCTACATCCCCAGCCCATTTTTATTTTGAGGCAAGATCTCACTAAATTTCTGAGACTCAATTGTGAGATCCTGTCTCAGCCTCTCAGTGCTGGGGTTACAGGCATATGCCACTATACCAAGCTTGAATTCCTGTGCCAGGCACGGTGAACCTTTCAGAGTTTTCAGTGGTACAGCCCACTGCAGCACAGGTGCCATAAGTTCACCATCACTGCCCTGTGGTTTTCCATGTGGGCGATGGTTACACTATTTTAAAATTATTAAATATTTCAGGTATGCAAAACTGTTCATAACAGTGTAACAGAAACCAGTGTAAAGTAATTAGCCAGGTGTGTTGCAAACATCTATAATCCCAGCACTGTGGGAGGCTGAGGCAGGAGGATTACAAATTTAATGTAGCTCAATGCAAGCCCCAGTACCAGAGGGGGGGAAAAAAAGGACATAGATTGAATTTGGTGGCATATGCCTATAATCCCAGCTACTTGGGAGGCTGAGGTAAGAGATCTATCTATAAACTCAAGGCCAGCCTGGGAAATTTAGGGAAACCTTGTTTTAAAACAGGTGGTGGCACATGCCTATAATCCCACCCGTGATGGAGGTTGAGGCAAGAAGTTCACAAGCTCAAATCCTGCCTGGGCAAACTAATTTTTTAAAAAGTTTCAAGCCGGGGATTTAGCTCAGTGGTTCCACTGCCCTGCCTGGCAAGCACAAGGACCCGAGTTCGATCCCGGTACAAAAAAAAAGTCAAAAAAAGTGCTGGAGATGTATCGTAGTGGTAGAGCACCCATGGGTTCAATCCCTAATACTGCAAAACAGGCCAGGCCATGTGTGCCCTTAGTCCTAGCCCTCCTCACTTCCCCAAAACATAACCCCCTTCAGAAGCGGCATTTATAACCCATGTGGGTCTACGTCTCTTACACAAGCATGTAGTGAAGCAGCACACAATGTTTTGCCTTTTTTCTTTGTTTTGTTTTTTGAGCCAGGGTCTCGATATGTAGCCCAGGTTGGTCTTGAACTCACACCAATCCTCCTGCCTATGCCTCCTGAGTGCTGGGATTACAGGGGTGGCCCACCATGCCTTGCTTGCTTCCTTGCCTTTTAAAAACAAGTCAGCTGCACCAGGCTACAGTTTTTTCTTGGTCTCGTGTTGTTTCATATTGACGCTCCCTCGACTCTATGGTATATACTGTTGCCTGACGGCCCTACACTGTTCCATCCATCTCCTATAAATGCGTTTTTGGTGTGTTACTCAATTTCCCTACCAAACATCTCCCCTGCAATGAATTTTTTCCCTGCACATCTCCATGTGTGTGTGAAGATCCCCTAACTGCTCAACCTCTCCACTCTCCCCACTCCAACCTAATTTCCCCGGCCAAGAATGACTTGCTAAAAGGGACCTGGGAATCGCACAAAAGCAACTTGGAGTAGTGTCACACACCTGCAATCCCAGCCTGGGCAACTTTGGGACTTACAACTGGTCTCAAAATTCAAATAATAAAAAATAAAAGCCCAGGAATGCAGTTCAGTATGAAAGCCCCCAATTCAAAACCTAGTGTTGCAAAACAAACAGAAAAGGGGTGACTGAATCCTCGCTCCACTCCCCTCCCCACCCTCCCAGAATGTAAGGTACTGGCAAGTGACCAGCTGGCCTCCCTGGGCCTCGGTTTCCTCCTCTGTGAAATCGAGGGTGGCCTGCCTGACCTGTGTGGCCAACATGAAAGAACTCCAGTAAACAGTTGGTCATGGGGAGGCTCACAAGTTTGATTCCAGCCTGGGCAGCTTAGGGAGACTGTCACAAAATCAAAAAATTAAAAATAAATGGCTGAGAGTGTAGCTTAATGGTAGAGGACTTGCCTAGTGTACCTGAGGTCCTGGGTTTGATTGTGCCGCACCACCAATAAACAAACAATCCTATGGTTGGGGGAAGGAAAGTGATTGCCTCCTCGTCACACAGGTGGCAGAGGGTCTGCCCGTGCTGTTTACTCCCGGTGAGCACCCTCGGTAACAGCACCTACCACAGAGCGGGCCCTGTGTCCTCTAAATCCTGCCCCGCCCCCCAAGAAGCTAAAAACAGAGGCTCAGAGGGGACAAGTTTCACCTAAGATCCAGGAGGGCACAGTTCAGGATCAGGACAGACCACACAAGACCTGCCTGCACGAGGCACCGGGGCTCGGGCTCTCCCAGGCTTCCTTCCCAAGACTCGGGGGCAGGGGGTGGGGCTTAAATCAGCAGCTCCCCCCCGCAAGCAGCTGTGCCTCGGGGGAATTGTGGCCGCCACAGGTGCAGAAGCAGTTCCCCCGACTGGCCTGACTCTACTGCCAGGGGCTGCCCAAAGGGCCCAGCAGTGAGGGCCACTGGAGCCCATCTCCGGCAGGGCTGGGCAGGAAGCAGGGTGGGGTTTGGGGTGGAATCTGCCTGCTGCAACCCAGACTCATCAACCTACTGGAAGAAGATGCCTGGGGGCACAGGAGTTTCCCGAGCTCTGCGGGTCACCATTCTCTGCTTTCTATCTGCAGCCAGCTTGGGTACGTGGCCTAAGGGCAGGTGCTGGGGGCTGGGAAGGCTGGAGGGAGGGCGAGGGCGGGCGTAGGCAGGGGGAAGGGTTCGGTCGGGGACAGGAGTCCGGAGAAGGGAGAGCTGGAGAAGGCTGATGTGGAAAGCAAGCACAGCAGTCAGTTGGGAGATCTGGGCTTTGACTGACCCATACGTCCCAAGCTTTGACAAGACAGAGCTGGGAGAGGCTCAGCAAAGTTAACAGGGACCCACAGAACCGTGGAGGGCGGCAGGACTGAGAGTGCCAATCCCCCACCCAACCTTTGTCCACACAAGTCAAAATAAGGAACTAAGGTGGTTCTTGACTGAGCACCAGGGCTGGGGACAGGAAGGGGATCTGGGGGTGGCACTGTCCTGTCTCTGCCTTAAACCTGTGGCACCCTGTATAACCCTCGGCACAAGGGAGCGGGGTGTGCCTCACTCCTTCCTCCTGTCTCTTCCTTTCCCCCACCCAAGGCCAGCTGACAGGGACTGTGCCCACACTGAAGTTCAGAGAGGAAGGTCACACACCAGTGACCCTAGGAGCAGGATCAGCGCTCCTGTCTGTCTGAGTCTTGAGCCTGTGACCATGAGGTTCCTCAGCCTCTTTCCCCACCTCTTTCTCCTCCTCCCTCCGCAAGACAAAGCCAGCCATGTGGACCGGCCTGGGGAGGCTGAGAGCTGAGGCTTCCCAGAGGAGAAGGCACCAGACAACCCTTTCTCCCTCAGAAACACCCCTGACTTCCCCCAGCTATACCCCTTCCCTTACCCTGTGGCCCCCACCTAAGGACCGAACCCTCCTCTGAGCCCCAGGCTGCCACCAGAAGTTACAGAGAATGAGGGTTGCCCTAGGCTCATACAAAGAAGGAGAGAAGTGCCCCAGGCTTGCAGGCCAAGGCAGGCATCCCAGGCCAGGACAAGCCAGTGGAGCTGGAAGTTTGTGCCCTAGGCCCTCTCCTTTCCCTACGCCTCAGCCTCAGCCACCTTGCTGTACAAGGGACCTCAGTTCTCAGGGTTTTGTGATGGTCACACAAAGTAAAGTGACCTGAGGCTCCGGGACCCCAGTGGCCTTCTTGAGGGTGGCTGCCTGACCTGGCTCTTGAGCTGTCTAGAAGATCTCGGAGGAGCTTTTCAGTGCCAGGAAACTGATATCCAAAAGCCAGAGTCCACAGCACAAAGTCGACCTGCAGAAGAGGCGGGCGCTCCAGGGGAACCCACCATACTCTCCTCCTCCCAGCTGTCTGTCTGTCTGTCTGTCTGTCTGTCGCCACCACTTCCTGGAGCACTGCCGCTGCAGGAGCCAGGGCTGGGGATAGTGGTGCTATCTCCAGTCCCTGACCCACCGGTTGCTTCTCACAGGACCTGGGTGCCAGGCCACCCTACGGGTGCACAGTGGCCTAACATCAGTGACAGTGAGCACTGGGGATGAGGCCCACCTCCAGTGCCTGAACAATGGCAACAACTCCAACATCACGTGGTGGCACATCCTCCAGGGCAACTATACAGGGATCCCAGTGTTAGTGGGTCACACTCACGGCCAAAGGGGCGAGTGGGTCATCCCAAATGTGAACAAGAGCCACGGGGGCATGTACCGCTGCCGAGTGGAAGCTGGGGGGACAGCACTGCATTCCTGTGGCACCTACCTTCGAGTGCGTGGTGAGTGGCTCAGAACCTGGCCTTGCTCAGACAGGCTTTCCTCTTCTATGAGTGCCTTCCTCGTGTGTGCTCGGAATGGCCACTACTGCAGCAGGGGGCTTTCAGGGGTGGGGTGGGGATCCTAGGAGGGCAGGAGGTGCAGGGTACTGAGCAGCATCGGCTCCTCACAGAGCCACTCCCCAGACCCTTCCTGGATATGGGAGAGGGCACCAAGAATCGCATCATCACAGCCGAAGGGATCATCCTGCTGTTCTGTGCTGTGGTGCCCGGGACGCTGCTGCTGTTCAGGGTGAGCCCCCAAGGGACCCCAGGTCAGTGGGTAAGGGCCTGGACTACGGTTCCCCACCCAACACTTGGGAACCAGAATGTACCCACCTCTCAGGGACTGTGGGAGTTAGGCGCACCAACGCAATGGAAAGGTTTTAAGTGGTGCTGACCCAAGGGGGGCCTCATCCATCCCTCCTCTTGGAATCCCTACTGTCCCCCTGCCTGCACCAAGCAGCACTGTCCCCAAAGATGCAGCAGAGACCAGGGAAGAAGGCGGCTAGGGGTCCTCCCACAGTCATCTGCTCCGGCGGACCTCTCCTTAGGCCACAGGGAACTATTATTATTCAATATTATTGTTGTCATTCATGGAGAGTAGTAAGTGCGGACAGCTGACACCAGCTCTGGACCCAGAAAGACCTGCCACATACTGGATATGTGGCATGTCCCTTACCCTTCTGGAAAAACACCTCCTAGGGGCATCCAGGAGAGTTTGAAACGCTGCTTGCTTTCCCCTGCTCACCCCCCACAGAAGCGCTGGCAGAACGAGAAGTTTGGGGTGGACCCCCGGGATGACTGTGAAGATGAAAACCTTTATGAGGTGAGCGGAGGTTTGGAAATGGGCAGTCTAGGGGCAGGCGCAGTGCACGGGCTGCACAGGGTCCCCCCCTTGGGGCTGGTGGTGGGAAGGGCAGGGACCCTAGGCTTTGGGGTACTGACGTCTGCTGCCCGTGTCCCCCCAGGGCCTGAACCTCGATGACTGCTCCATGTACGAAGACATCTCCCGCGGCCTCCAGGGCACCTACCAGGATGTGGGAAGCCTCCACATTGGAGATGTCCAGCTGGAGAAGCCATGACCACCCCCTCACACATGTCGGGAGGCCCCTGCCTGCTTTACACCCACCTCCAAGGTCTCCTCGCACCCGGAACAGTCTCTCAGCTCCTCCCCGGGAGCTTCCGCCTGGAGTGTCCCAATCCCCACCTAAAGCAGTCCTCCCGCTGTTGTCTTTCCCAGGCTCCCTCCCTAGTGGGTAATGAGCCCTTAATCGCTGCCTCTAGGGGAGCTGATTGCGGCAGCCTCCTTAGTGTCCCCCCTCCCCCCAGATCTGTCACGGCCACTTAGTGATAATAAATCCTCCTGACTGCAGACCTTGGCAGGAGTCATGGATCTCATGGGGACCAGTCTCTGTCCTCCCCTGGGACCCAGGAGTCCTAGCCTAAGCCTCCTCCTCCTTCTGACCCCGGATTCTGTACCCAAGCTGTCCCCTACCCACCCTCCACACCTGCAATCAAGTAGCCAGTCTTAGTTCCCCCCTCCCCACACGAAAATTCAGGAAGTCCCTTGGGGAAGTCCCCACCCCAGTTAAAGGGCTCCCCTCCAGAGCTCCACTTACACTATGTCCCTGAGCAAAGGGAGAAAATGGGGGAGGGAAGGGGTGCTGTGGCTGCCAAAAAAGGTTTTGTTTTTTTGAGATAGGGTTTTGCTATGCAGGCTGGCCTTGAATTCACTATGTAGCCCAGCCTTCGTTTGAACTCACAGAGATCCTCTTGCCTCAGCTTCCCAAATGCTGGGATTACAGGCATGCACCACCAGAAATTTTATGTGTATCAAGCTCTGGAAATGGGCTATCTTGTGGGCTGGTACTGAATTCCCCGACAGGCAGATGTGCAGAAGTGGATTTGGAGTCTGTGGCTCTACTTTGGGGACGATGCAGAGACAGAGAGACAGGTACAGTGACAAGAGTCACTGGCACAGGGAGGAAACCGCAGTGGCACACTGGCGGCGGCGACACTGAGAGACGGTGAAGGTGGGAAAGCAAGTGAACGGAGAGGGTCGGGAGACAGGGCCCGGAGAGACTGGGCTGTGGAGACAGAGGCGCAGAGACGGGAAGGAAAGAAGCTGGAGAGGCTGATCCTGGAGACCGAGGGAAAGCAAGCCACCGTTGGAGTAGGGTACAGAGGGGCTCTGAGGGAAACAGGAACCGAGGAGGACGAGCAGAGGGCAGCGGAGGACAAGGAGGGAAAGACCCCACCCGAGGAAGGGCGTGGGAGACGGGGACCGGGAGCGGAGCCCGCACGGAGGGACGGAGACAGAGGAGCTGCGCGGGCGCGCACGGAGGAAGCAGGAGAGGCTACGGCTGGCCGGGCGCTCACACCGGGCGGGGTCGCGAG